GACAGTGGAGAAATATTGTTTTTAAGGTGGCGTTTCAAAGATCATTTGTAGTTGAAGACTCTAATAAGCTAGTGATTACGTACTTAAACATCTAGACACGATTTCAGATATCTAACATCTGATATGATCTTATCAGTTGACTATTTTGTTAGCATTCACATAACCAAAGAAATAAATCGCAAACGTATTACTGAATTATGTTCATTTTTTCGATTATTGAATAACGAAAATCAAGAAAAACATTCAATTAATTACAAAATGCTTTGCGCGAGATAATACTTGATTATCTAATTATACTACTATTTACAATGGTTGAAATAATAAAGCTGGGACAGTGGGTTTACAACCATCTTCTTAGTTTACTGAATTTATAAGTGAAGTGATGACCCTATCATTGAAATATTGGACTTTCAGTCATTGGATAAATCTCATCCATTCTCTTTCGATTACATGGTCATTTAGTGTTAAAAACCTCCACATGAAAGAAGGAAAGACCAAAGTCGAGTAGGTGAAACTACACTTGGTAAATAAGTTGTAATATTGTCAATTATGATTTAAATTATAATGTATATGATAAGTCTTGTCAATTGAACGCTATGTCTGATCCTAAGCTATTCCGGTAACCCGCAGTCTAGAACTACACAGCGACTTGAACACCAGAGAGAAGACACAAGTATGAGAGAAAGTACTTTTTGTACAGAAAATCATGGGTATTTATAGATGTTGGCGTCTGTTAAATCAACATCATTTTACAGCCAATCCGATAATGATATACTATGCTACCGACCAATAGTAGCACGCCACGTTGGAATTCTAGAACGTTCCATCATACTCTGATTGGCTAGGACTCTTCGGCTCCTTTTGGGCCTCTGGAGGCTCCGTTGAAGTTCTCCGGAAGCCGACCCAACACTAGATTTCCTTAATTTCACTTTTGAATTTGTTGTGACTTTAAGACCGGTTAATTACCACATAATTTATTCGCCAATCGAAATACGACTTATCCAAACTTAGTACCGTACCAAGACAATGACGTTCGACCAGTATGAGCAGCCTAGCGTCCTTGTTGGTCCTTTGTTCTCCTAGCTCCGTGAACGTGGGAGACTCTAACTAATAAACTCAGCATAATTTAAGAATTGCAAGTCATATAATAATAATCTATAGGTCAAAACGAAGCTTATAATAAGAGGAATATAGATATATATAATCTATTTATTGAATATATATATAGTAGTTTTCAGAAGTTACCCATAATTTAATCTTCCCTAGGATATAACAGAATTATTCTCTTTTGTCATTTAAACAAAAATTTAAGAAAATATGTCCAGTCTAGACAAATAATAAAAAGTATTGTTCGTTCAAAGCACTGTCAGTTTAGGAGGTATCCTTAAATATTGATATTTGTAAATGCTCAACACAATCGGTACTGTTTAACAAAAAATAAAACGTAGACAATTGTTTTCCTCCTAATTTTATACACAGCAGGGGCATTAATTAGATCATTTAACTATTTCTATCAACCAACAAATAATTATATCATTGTTAAACTGATTTGGAAACCTTAAGGTTGAGATGATATTCAGAAAAAATGTGATGCATCAGTGTCTTGTATTTTAAAGAGATTCGTGATATGGGAATAATTAGCTCAAAGATGATCTAGATCAAATGTAAGTTCTTGTGTGATAATTTGGAAAGAAATACTAATATATAACGTTATTTGTCATGACCCGGCTGTAGCTACGCAAATGTTAACAGAATGAGTATAGTAAACGTAAATATTCTTCAATAGGACTTATAGTACACCGTCACTAACTTTTAATTCAGTCGCCAACCATTGGAAAAACAAAAGGTATTCAAAGGTTTATTCTCTGCTCCAACCGACGCTAGTATGTGGGAAAATAACGGAGCATTTATACATTTCTAGTGCTCTTGTGAATCCCCCATTTAAAATGCGGGTTTTATGAAGCAAGTGGTTTCGAAATCCAAAGTGGGGATAACCAAAAACATCTCTTCATAGTTGATGCAGGTACTGATCTTGCTAAATAACGCATTACTCAGCATTGGTAAATGGGGAAAACCAGATAAAATAATCAGATAAATATGTTAATTCAATCATCACTAAATTTCAATAAAAACAGATGTTTAAACTCTGAAAAGCAGCTTTTATACAACCTACACCATTATTAAGAGAAATATATAAAAATCACTAAATTAATGCTGTTTTTGGTGGTGATCGTACTTCGTCTATGAGTTTAACAATTTGGAAACCTAAAACTAAATACTAGTTGAGAGTTATACACAATGTATGGCAACTACTAATATGATCTTATTTTTTAAATATTGGGATTAGAAACTTGTAACTAATTAGTTAGAATCACAGTTTGTAGATAACGGAGAAATAAATTCGAAATCCAAGAATATGATTAGACAGTCACCTTGGAACAAATACAATCAAAGAACAATCTTTACAACTACGTTTAGTAAGCTGGAGATAAATTCTAATTTTTATATTCATTTCCTGCTAATATTTATCTCAAATACTAGAGTGAAAAATGAAGCATACTTGTTGTATATAAAGAAGATAATTTTTGGGCTGGTAATTGTATATTTCATCAGATTATAAATTTACTCAAAACGAAATAAATATTCATTAGTTTAAACAAATATTTCACTCACTATTTAAGAAAGAAATTCACCAAGTAAACTTAGTGGACAAATTTATTATAAAAAGATGGAATTAGATTAGATCTCTTCGAACAATGTAAATGAAAAGTGACATTCTTAGGATAATTCGTTTTCCCAAAAGATAAACATCATACTCAATAAAAACTATTTATAAATATAACTGCAAATAAAATAACAACCAAATTAAACACAAAAATACAGATCTCATTTAAAACAAAGCAAAATGGAAAAACAAAGAACTATTTTTTGAAGGTCGCACATTTCGCGGCCACTTTAACATTCGAAAATTTTTTAATACACTATATATATATAGCAGTTGATCAATACTTTTCAGCGTCTTAACTTGAAAAGTTACACAAAATCTAAACATTGAAAATATATTATAATCTCCCATATACCAATGCTGTAATAGAGTATTCAATAGATAAATAAGTGGATTTGACAAATTTCCAAAGAGTACATTGACATTATTCCAAGATTAAATTTAAGTCTTGTAAATCTTACATAAAAATCTCAAGCTTGGTTTTGGATAGATCAATGAGAGATATCTAAGATAACGTAATTTCATAGTTATCAGTGGCAACTGAATCTCAAGAATTTTTAGGCTTTTCCTATAAACCGAATTTTAACAAGAATATGTGAATACAGTTTTAATAAGCTTTCAAATATTACGCTGATGATGTGTCCTTTACAAACCAATATGACCACTAAAGTTGACTTACTGATGTAAAATGTTTGAGACTACTAATGTTACTAAGTAGCATTATTGTTATTGGTAAAAGTTTTGAAGTCAGAAATTCTAACATAAACGGATACACAGACTTCCGTATGACTTGGAAAATAATTAGACTGAATACCTGGAGTTATCGGCTTTTATATTTCCCTTCTATTACATACCAGGAAAGTAAATATGTTTCTACGACCTCATTGAAATGAGTGTTTAAAACTAGAAGTACGATTAGTTATTATTTATTATAGCACATAGATACTGGTACAAGGAGGCACCAAATACATATGCGCCACACAAATCTCATTCGATATGTGTGAGGGCTGTGATACCGCCTCGGTGCCCAAACTGAAGCAGGTGGTTTTCTTAGGGGGCCACTCCTTGAGCCTTCGACCTGAAGGTCTAACCCACAAGACAGTGGAGCATCGTGAGAAGATGCAGTCCCATGGAAGCCGGCGACCAAAAATTGGTTCGTACGCCATTTTTTCCGGCAGGATACTGGAGCCCATGCGCACCATTAGTTTGGAATCCGGTTAAAGCGCCGGACATTCGCTTTTCGTCCTCTCATTTTCGTAAACAACACCCCCGCCACGAGAAGGCAGTGAGTAGGACTTCCCTGGCAGATGCTATATACGCGTGGCCATGTGAGAGCATTTCGAGAGGGAGAGCGGACTCTCCCCACTCTCAGCCGTACCAGGGCATTTGGGGGCATGATTAGGTATAGCATACACAATAATTATTTTATTCACAGATTTGGTTACATATTGCTAGTTTTCTTATAAGGTACAATGGTTTACCCTTAATGTGAAAACTATTCATATGTTTTTTCAGCCTCTTTAATTAATTCTGCATATATTTACAGTTCATGACTAGACTCATATATTTAATCGCACTTAATAAATAGACACACTCAGAACATTACTTCCACCAACATATTCCCTGGCTTCAGTTAAAGGGTCTAAAAGATGGATACTCCTGATTAAATGTTTAACTTATCGCATATCATTTGTTTTAAGAATTATGTAATGTGCTCATGTACCAAAATCCGAATTACACCTACTCCAGATCATAATTGTTGTTAGCATCATCCCTACTATCCATCACAATGTTATTCTACGGCGACCTCTTAATTATTAGTAAAATATTGACCAAAAAGTGAACTTCCAATAAAAAAATATACCAAGGACATAGAAATGGTACCCGGTAGTGCCTGATACCTTGAAATGATGGTCGGGCTTGCATATCATGACCACTCATTAGAAGTATATTGGCTGGAATACTCATTCATTTAGGTTCTATGTAGTATTTGTACGAACTAATGACTCTTTTGTACTTGATTCCCCGCTTATTAAGAATTCCAAATACAATACGCTCGTTCGTTCTGATCTAGTTCCATCTGGCTTGAATTACGCTCCTTCTGGGATTCCTAGTTAGCACTTCAATTCGAATACTTCTAATCATTATATTCTACCACATAGGCCAAATTAGTTCGAGGATGATAAGAACAAGAGCTGTGAATTCGTTGTTCGATGACGAGTTACGTTAGCTAAACAAACCCCGTATCATACAATTAGTCAGTCAAACAACAATCTTACTATAACTACTCATTTATGGTGCGATATTGAAAAACAGCAGTGGCAGCTTACGAAATTCAAGCGCGTGAAGGGTAACTAGAAATCGAGACAACAATAAACCCAATAATAACTTTACTGAGTTTTAGTGGATACAGTAGTACTAATATATCCGAAATCATTACCAAGTATACAGATATTTATGTTTATTAGAACACACAGATTACGAAATACGTTGAAATTTTGGGAATAATACTTTATACAGGCGCATGACACAAAAATGATCTACTGAACCAAGTTTGAAAACAAACAATATAAAGGGTTTACAAGAAAGTGAAGAAGCAGTATAAACAAACAGACTAATCAATAGCACTCTGGACTAAACATCAAATACAGAACATCTCCTATAAGAGATTTAGTTCATGTATCATCATACAAGTCACGAGTGCGCATGGAAAGCTGTTGACAACTTTATTGATTAGTGATGCGTTCATTAACAAACTCTATTATTGTGTCGCTATCCCAAGTGTCGATAGGAATCTCTTCTTGCACTTGTCGTTTCTCGTTGAGCATGCGAATTGTAGGTCTATGACCTCTTTCGTATACCACTTTTAGATTAGTCATACTCTTCCGTTCCTTGCTGTCAATGAATGCTAAAAAATGAATTTCCAAAAACAAAAGGTAGATTTACTGGTGGTTTAGATATTAGGATGATTTATCCCTACTTAGTTTACAGTTAGATATAGCTAAAAGGAATACTAAATGGTTATAATTGCAAGGATGATTAAATTCCCCTAAACAAGACAATAAATATTTAGTTTTACTAAACTGACTTGGTAATCTAAAAAGAACGTCTGCATTAGTAGGTCCAAGTTTTACGGTATCGCTATTTTTTTATTGTTTTAAACTTGGTATGCAGAATACTGCGCTTCATGACCAAAGTGAGCTGAACACGTAGATCTGTCCAGGTTAAAATAGTATTTACAAATGGGGAGAAATAATGCAAGATCGACAAATAAAACAGCTTCAAAAACGAAATATATAGTAGAAGAACCCTACATCCTACCTAATTATGATTTGGGACAAGCCTTTGGGCTATTTGCGCGATTAAGACACGCTGTATACACAAAATGCTCATATTTTAAGTGTGATAGAATGTCCATATCAAAAATACATTTCCCAAAGACGTGTTGTGTAGTTTGCCTCTACGAAATGCGGTATCAAAGACGGTTACGCCTACCAGATACCCCAATATTTCTACATAATCAGAACCTTAATACTCTTCTCACTGTATGAAATTTCGTCACCACCATAACCTTCTATTTTTGATGAATTTGTGATATCCGGTTAAAATAGACACAGTACAGTATGGGCTTACTTTTACAAAATGTATATATGTGCTAACGATAGTAATTCAGACATAGACAGACTTGTGACTATCGAAAAGTTCGACCAGCTAATAACTACCACATACTCTATGGTGGGAAACTTGCGAAATTTAACATTACTAAATACTAACGATTCCTATTTCCTATAAACAAAAACTTACCAAGCACTTGAGGATAGCGTTCTAAGGATCACGAGCAAGTTACTAGTTCTGCAAAAGCATATTTCTGTGGAAATAGACTAGAAAACCTACATACCTTAGAAGTTCCAGATACATTTTCATCTTCACAACACTGAAAACAAGATTTTTCAATCTTTTCTAATTTGAACTTTTTCAACTCTGAACATGAGGAGCACTTGAGTAATGAAGTGAACCCTGAAACAGCACAAGATTTTGTGTCGTTAGCAAGAACACCAATCTGTAATTAAATTAAATTTTAGTGCACCCAGGGGCTTATTGTCCTTACAAATAATGAAAGAAAACAAACTAAGACATCGGCGAGCAACATTACAACATCAGCGGTACCACGTATTCTACTTCAAAGTCACTAAGTAGTGAAGACAAACACATCTGTTGTTTACTTGTTTTAATATGGTCACCCAATTGGAAGGCGATCAAAGCTTTTATTTTTGCAATTACTCAAGTCTCAGCACCATAACGATCAATATGTCTGGCAAACGCTTTCGTAATACATTATTCTCAGGTAAATGCCAAACTAGAGAGAAATTATAAATTAGCGGTTCCCTGAGATTTATATTAGGATGTTAAACAAGAGGCCTCGGGGGTAAATATTTGTACTCCTATTATGAACCACCAGGGACATCGAAGAATGAAACACTAGTTAATTATGAAACTGGCGATTGAGAAAATCATCCAAAGTAAAACCCCACATGGCTAATAGGTCTTCAAAGATAAATGACTCTTTAAAATGAATAAATTTGTAGATACTTGATATGGAAGTTGGATATTTCATTTTCCCATGCTCTACTATACGAGAATTCCAGGTCATCTCTCTTGGATATATCGAGAAGCACCACATTTGTGAAGCTTTTAGTCATCTAGACAATCAGCTCAGTAATCTAGTGTTCACTTGAATTCGCTTCCATTCAATACACTATTCGTCCAGATCATTTTCTTTTTTCCATCGTTTGCCTTTTCATATTCTACTGAAAGTCACCTCATACCAGTTGTAAATTATGCTACCGTGTCAGTAAATTGGTTTGCTTAAACCGTCAGAAATTCACGAAATGGCGTTCGCTCGTCCAGTTGGGTGGGCCCCGTTTGGGTTAGCCTGGTTTATTGTCGCCCGCTGCTTTACACGAAGTGTTTTACTGTGAGGAGATATTCGATAGAGTAAAATCATTGATAGTATTACAATTAACACCAGATCTTATTCAAGTTCCTGCCTAGTTGACTACCAGCTCACAATATACCTCGTTAATCGATATCACTTTCTGTAAGTTGTGGAATCTGTCAGTGTAAAATGTTTTGGTTACCGTTAACTTACCTGTAGACTCCTATTGAAGTTTGAGTAACATTAACAAAAACAGATGATGTAAAACGCATAATTCTGTGGTTTTTTACATTATTGGGGCTGGCATAAAATACTTTGAGATTCTCGTAAATTCACCCCCTTTAGTCACAGATATAGATGAGCATGTTGGTCGTTGATTGGCCTTATAGCTCTGGGATCCTATGAGCTGCTGGGTTTCAAATGTATCTATCAAGATTCTTAAACACCTACAATATTTCTCTTAACCTTTTTTACGGATGAATTTTTCCAAACTTTTCGGTCATTTTGTCTGCAAATATATGGCATAGATCATGTTTGTACTATGGTTTGCATATGCCTATACACTTGTATCTTCCATGACCATAAACTTCGAATCACATCTTAATGAAATATAGCAGGCCTATCTTACTTCTCCGATCCACATCTCTCGTCGTCTGTTTGCTTTAATACATATCCGAAATATATGTATCCAGAAGCACCCTCGTATTAGACTTTCGATATACCGTTGCTCTAAACGTGTTAATTAGGTAGAACACACATGTGGTGAGGTAGGGCATAAATTTCGCTTGCTTTAATATCGTTCGACCATCAAGGTTCCAACCAGTTCTCCAAACTAGCATTACCTGTGCAAGACCTTTGAGGTTGTGAAGCAATCAGCTTACAAACTGTGGTCCCGTAATTCATTATATATTCTTAAGAGCCCCATTTTGGCTGAAAACTCAGCGTTTCTGTGTGTTAGTTTTAACATGGTGGTATTCGAAGTGGTTAAGGCAACTCTTTAGGAGATGGAATGCCCAGAATCGCATGATCAACCTTTGTCTATGGTGTTCTAAGTGTGGATAATAAAGCAGACGACATACTGAGTGGTTGTTAAGGGATCATTGATATTCCCAAATACGTTTTTATTCATCCACTACCACATTTAAGAATTTATGACGAAAGAATTATTTGCTTTTTTGGCTAGTCGCTTCCCATCATAGATTCAGGTTCAGATTTACGTTTTGAAGACAGAAGACCGACGACCTGTGCTAGTCATCTTTTCCAACGAGCTTATTTGTGTCTCTGACCTCTAATGAGTCAATTACTTATTATTATTATTATATCTTGGTGCAATATAAAATTATCAGCAGAGGTTATTCCAACAAGATTCTTTCGCAAAAAATACAAAAACAAAAAAAGGAAAAAAAGGGCTAAAAAACCTGAAAAAAAATGTAAAACTTTTCAAACCAGAGACATGTCAAAAATGCAGGTTATTGTCTGGATTAATTCTAACAACCTATTCGTCAAAGAGTATATTTGTTAGGTAAAGTATTATAGAAATTCTATACTTTTCCTTACGCACATGGATTTTAATGTACTTTCGTCTCGTTCTACCAGAAGATATACAAGGAGAAAGATATGAGTGAAGGGGGTGGTTAGTATCTTATAAGATAACACCTGCCAGGAGTTTGCATGAATTGAGATGTCCATCCACAACCATATTAATTATGACCTCAAAAGATTCACCACACACCTTGTTAACTGCCTTCAGCACTCTCCTCAATGCAGCAAAGTCTTTTCTCAAAAGTCCGGGAAAGAATGATGGAAAACGGTAAGGAATAATAGTTAATATGCAAGAATTGACAAATTGTAAGATTAAATCACGAGTAACCCCCAAGAGCATGCAGTCTCTTTATGAAGTAAGTCAGACGGAAAAATTTCTTCGATAACAATAAAACGTGAGAAGACCAAGAGAGATCAGAAGAAAAGGTGACACCAAGATAATTGATCTTCGATATTGTGTTTATCAAAGAGTCTATAATGTCACAAGCATTATGTGATACCAAAGTGAAGTTTAGATTACGTTTATGTTTCATGCTAAAGTTAAGTTCAATCAATCTGTTGTACAGAAAAATTCCCATACTATAAATTAGGACAATAGATATTTACAACTAGTTATATCCATCGTAGAATGACACAAATGAGAATCACCAAAAGTTGTCAATCCACATCTGGGAAGCGAGATAAAATTATCAAGACGAGGAGAAAAGTTGAAATAATAGCAGTATCAATGATAGGAAGAGAGTCAGAGGATTGAGATGATGGTTCTAAATGAAGGAGTATCGGAATTCAAGACCTAAAGGAAGATAAAGAATGAGTAAATCTGACACTACAACTGATTCTGATCATCGTTACTCAACATCTACAATCACTCATTGCGATTTCCAAGTGGGATCTAACAACGTAGTCTTCATCTATCAACACGCTTTTTAAAAAAGGATGTTCGAGACACCATCAGGCCCCAAACATCAGAATGAATTAAGTGTCTGGAGACATCTTCTGACATCAGTTTCAATGAAACTAGGAAAACAGCTATTCTTTAAACCTGTGGATATAGGGAGCATTACATCAGATGACTGAAGTGCAAAAGACTTATTTAAATCACAAACATTCAGCTGGTTATCGCTCCTAATCTGTCTATCATCTGTAAGTTCTTTAAAGAGTTTCTACATACTTGGTAAGTTTTTACAAGACAAGAGTTTCTGAGTAAACATAAAGTTGAGACGTCTAATCTCTGAGTTTATCAGACCATTTAGCTTACAAACATCACTAGGCTTTTTCTTCTTGTGCATTCTTTCACCCTGCGTAGTCGTTTTAGTTGTGAAGATGTAAGTCGATCAAAACTTACAAAAATGGTTTCAGTGGGACAACAAATATTAAATCAGAATTTAAGGTAACAAGTGATAACATCAGTAGTGTTTTCCAGTGATTTATCTGTAAATAATTCCCAGTTAGTCGTATGAAACATGTTTTTCAGATTTCGGATGTTTTCTTCTGAGTAATTCCTATATTTGACTTTGTTGGTTTGATTTAAGAGTGTACTCTTCCTATGCTTTCCATATACTTTAGGTAGAACACGAATTATACAGTGATCCCAGTTAGGCAATGGAGCATGTTTACGAGTCACATTTATACCCACATCATTAATGAAAACGAAGTCTAAATGAGCATCCAAAAGAGCAGGAAAATCTACTACATTTTGATGACCTAGTGACGTAAGGAAGCTACAGTCACATGGATTGAAATTACCACATACAACTGAAAGTGATTCACTGAAGGTAGTAACAGCGAACTCAGTGAATTCATCCGCGGAAACAAATACTGCAAATGATGTGCACTCTGGAGTCACGCAGAAATTGGTAACATAAGCATATTTGTACTTATTAAGATATTTTGGACGACATCCTACAGTTAGACAGTCGATAAAGTCATTTAAAAAATTGAAACAAGCAAACGTAGATCGACACCAGTTTATGTTTACAAACGTAGCTAAACCGCCACCACATCTCTTTTTATTGTTTGATCGATCCTGACGATAAATTTCGAAATCACGTAGTGATACTAGGCATTCGTCCTGTAAATGATTTAACCAAGATTCTTGAATTGTGATGACACCATAATTAAGTTATATAAGATAGTCCACCTTGTTAATTAGTGATCGGCAGTTAGAATTTAGCAGCTCGGGGATCGACATACGACTATTGTTCATTCTCTTCAACGCATATTACCAACCACCACGATGTTTTTTGTTGTACTCTTCTGGAACTTTTGCAGCGAAAGGTCATAGACATTTAATAGACGCGCCTGTATAGGCTATGCGATTAATGGGTATAATGAGAGGTTAAAACGAAATGAAAAACAGAAAACTTATTAAAATAATTAAATGGCAGAAACAGGTAGCCCAGGTATTCAGGCTGTCCGCTGTGAGCAGTAATTCCCGCTCTAGTAGATCCCAAAAGTTTGAATCTCATTGATGTTATATATACTGTGATGAACATACTCGTATCAATCATCTATGTGTCTGTCTTGTAGCCCTTGCAAACCCTTTAAGCGAAAACGCATGATTGTAGACCGTGAACTTCAAGCCATGACTCTTCATTATCATTATTATCATTCACAAACATCTTGTGGGTACATGTGTTGTGAAGAAACCATTTAAAGTTTCTTCAGAAATGTAATAATATACATGTTTCAATAATGTTAGCGAATTTGCCATATCTAAGAAAGAAAAAAGCAAAGAAAAGTG